TGCTGCTGGCATTTGCTATCAGTTCAGCTACTTCGAAATACCTTTGCCACCAACAAAGAGCGAATAAAGAGGAAATTCTGACTGCTTACTTCGAGATTTATATGAGCTAACTAAAACAGTAAGGACACATGAAATTTACTTTCGGGCCGAGTTGCAAGTCAAAAACAACAGTGGTACATTCCAACAGCAACTACTAATACTAGTAGTACAGCACATCAAAAATTTCACCCTTTTCCACCTTGTCAAGCAAACCCTGACTGACAGACAGGAACAATAGAAGGAGAAAGAAAAGGAAGGCGACACTAGGCAGATAGAAATTTACCTAACATCTCGGACACCTTCCATAACATTTATTTCACAGCTGAGTTTTTTGGTAAGCCAGTCAAAGGCAGCAACGTGCCCCTGTTTACCACCAATCAACAGATAGCGTCCATTCGGCGTATAATCAACACGATACGGTCCAAAGCGCTCCAAATGTAGATGGAAGTGCTGCAAAAGAAACTGCTTTCTAATGCACGAAACTCCGCTAGCACGGACATCACACATGTAGAATAGAGCGAGGCATTTTAGCACCCAAAAGAGGTAACGTAAAGTGGTGAGGCTCAGTGCACAACAATAACATATCGGAACAGCTAAAGCCCTACCAAGTGCTTCGAAATGAAGAACCGCCGCGCCAGTAATCCCTTCAACAGGCGAACTGAAGACGGAGACACAGCGAGCTGATCACCACGCAACGCATCAGTGGACAAGGCAGCCGAGAAAATTGCCTGATAGCATAGCCGGAAACCAATCTATGGATTGCAGCCAATCCAACTAGTTTTAGAATCATGTTTTTGTTGACTCGGGAAAATTTGAGATGCGCTGGACAAAACAGTGGGAGTAGCGAAAGCGAGAAATGCGGCTGCCTGAACAGCCCTGAATGGAGGATGATGAGGATTAATTATGAAGAAAGCCAGCGCAGATCGGAAACAAGGAGAAGCACGGCCAAACTCAGCGGCAGTTAAACACTGATTTGTCAGAAGTGAAACCAAGCACATGCTGCACCTGATCTGGGCAGGTAAGCTTACTTTACTAGCACTCGCGATGTCCACAGCATCACAAATATCGTTTTGATCGATCGTGTACGTTAATTCGCCTTCATCGCCAGCAAGAAAGCTGAAAAACGGACTAAAATTAGCATGAAAAAAATGCAAGTCCTTTGCTTCACAATCTAAAAAATGTTAAAAACGAAACTGCCTTGTCTGGAGCTGTACCGAAAACGAGCAGTGAGGAGAAAAGACAGGTTAAGAAGCCAGTAGTGCTAATACGCAGAAGGCATTTGTACATGCCGGGGATTAACTTAACAGTAAAATTTTTTGATGAACAACAGCCAAAGGAGCAAACTGGACTCTGAGCTGCAGTGCGGCGGAAGATATTTCCACACTAAGAGAGCTGCTGCAACGCGCAAAATGTGCCAATTTTTCCTCTCCTCGCACTGTCCCCTTTTCGTCGACTTCCGAAACAGCCCAGCTCAAAAGTGCTAAGCTGAAGCTGTACAGCCTTGCAGAGAAAAGAGAGGCGAAAATTATGGGGCAACCGCAGCAAAGACCCTTTTACTTTT